TACTCGTTAACTATTACGAAAATTGCAAAATGGTACAGGACTTTTCCGTTCACCTCGATCCGTTCTACCTTCTCAAAAATTTTGTCGGATATGGAAAGACCCACCCTGTATAAATTCCGTAACATTCATGCTTAATCTTGATAGCACAAAGCTACACGTCATCCCGAGAGAGAGAGAGAGAGAGAGAGAGAGAGAGAGAGAGAGAGAGAGAGAGGGCTCTCTTTAGTTTGATTTCATCTTCGTTTAATTTCAGTAATGAATCCGCACATTAAGTTCCCTAGAAATAAATTTTCACCTCTATCGGATTAATTAAATTAATGAATAAGTACGCGCTGGCCAAAAACGTCCAATTCGCCAACACGACTGATTGATTATAAAGAAGGACGTTGTGTCTGTCTTGTAAAATATTCACGCCGCGAGTGCAGCGGAGAGATACGGACGGGCAGTCGAGAAATTATGCATCGTTCGCCGAAATAAAATCGGTGACACCGAGTCTCCCACGAGGAAGGCTTAATTGTCCCCGGCGAACTTACCCGGAAGAATCGGCGAGACATCGGTGACCCCGTCGTTTCGTGCCGCTGTTGAATTCATTACAGTCGCCGTGGAAGCGAGCAGAGGGGAAAAAGCCGGAGTTCCGGGAAGATACGGAAAGGGGGAAACGCTATTAAAGAGTGTGCGCCACCGGCCTTAATGACGTCCACTTACGTTGCGTGAGCGTCCATTAGCGGAACTCGAGGGGTGAGAAAGGTCAACCGCGCGTCCGAACCCGCGATTCCGATGTTTCGCAGAGCCGATCAAAGGGGTTCGAAGCCACCGATTGAATTACGACGACGTGACAATTGTTTTTCTTTTTTTCCCCCTTTAAAACTGGCAGATGCTAAAGCGTAGTGTAACAATAGCAGTTGCGGGAGCCAAATAAATTTGGAATACGACTGGATTTTCGAAAAGTGACAGGATCGATTTGCCAGTAATGGACACGCGACGCGTCTCCTTACTTAGCGACGGAAATAAAATCGGCAAAACTCGCGGAGCCGTCAATTATGCACGTGCCGTCGACTATTTGCCATTGAACACAGTCGCGCGCATACAGCACTTAGGACAAAATCCCGTGCTTCCGTTTGCGAGCCACCTTCCTTCCTCCGGTCCTCTCTCTTTCTCCGTCCGTTTCTTCCTCCCCCGGATCGTCGAACCGCGACACGCAATTTTCCCGGCTTCACGCCCGTGTCGCGGAAACCGCGGTGGAACGGAATTTCCGGTCGCGCAAGAAGCCGCGCGCAAACATCGCCATTAAATTCGCGCCGCGCAAAAAAAAACCCACGATCTCCCACTCCGCGACCCCGAGGCTCGCGCAACCCCCGTCCCCGCCGCTTTCTACGCCTCGCTCCGCTCGCTTCGTTCGACCGCGAAGCGGATCTGCACGCTCGACCGGCCGCGGTTGCGAGATCCGAGGGGAGAGAGCCAGGAGAGGGAGAACAGGTGCGATCCTTTCGCGATGGGAAAACGAGATCGGGAGAGATCACGCGGCGGCACGGTGGTCACGACATGAGGCAGGACGGGGAGGCGAGGGGGAAGCATGGGGGGGCGGACGGGGTAAATTGCGCGGCGCGGACGGAAAAGTGACGTCGCTAATTGGAGCGCGATGCCGGCCCGGTAATTGCGTGCGCGCTTCGCTTTGTTCTCGCGTGAGAAACACGGACATCTTGATGGCTTTGCGAAGCAAGGGGGGACAACTCGACGCTAGAAGCGGAGGGATAATATTCAGGGTATATCGGTGGGGTGGCTGGTGAAGTGATCAGTTTGGTAATCTCGGGGCATTTAGACGGGAATCGTGCGGGTTGAAATTTACGGGGCGCGAAATCATGGAAACGCCAGCGCGAAACGGGGTAAACAAAAATTAAATTAGATTCAATGCGGACAACGAACACAAACAGGATTAACAAAACTTGCCTCGTAGAAAAGCTGCGAAGCGACGTAAGGTGTTAAATTACGTCTCGCCAGTTAGCGGAACAAAATGAGCGGCGCCAATTCTAATTAATATTTTTGTCCATCGCTCGCTTCTTGCTGCAAAGTCGTCGGGGAAAGAAATTTGTTGCTATGTCTCTTTAAAAAAAAATGATGGTCCGTTAAAAAAGAAGATTAAGTTAGCGGAGCACAATGAGCGGAGCCAATTCTAATTAATATTTTTATCTATTCCTCGTTTCATGCTACAATTGAAGAGAGAAATTGTCGCTCTGTAAGTTTCTTTAAGAAATAATGTTCCGCTAAAGGAAGACCGAGTTAACGGAACAAAGTATGTAAAACAACAAAATTGTAACAGCAATGATATAAGAATTCGCAATGATCTAAGAATTAATTAAAGAGTAAGGGAAGTCCAGGTTCAAACTCTGGCTGAGGTAATACTTCTCGCAATAAATTTTCTGTATTAAAAACACTGGCCGGTTAATGTCGACTAAAAAAGCTTCATTATTGTTATCTATTACTAGCAACTTAGAGAGACTTCTATGGATTTGAATTTACACCTACGACTGAAAGATGGTGTCTCAATCAATCTCTAGACGATTTGGACTTAGCAATTGCGTCCACGTAAGGGGAGAAGGGGACGGGATACTTAAGGGCATTCTACAATGAGTTGCAAACATCTTGTTGCCAGTTGAAAAGGATGGCAACTGCTGGTTACAAAGTACTATTTCCGGTTGCCAGTGGCAGTTGCGGTTGCTACACTGATAGAAAAAAATGTAGCATTAGAAACTGTATAATTGCACAGTAAAATAATTATAGTCAGGAAAATTATTTTTATAGTAATTATTACTATAATATTATAGACACAGTGATGGCAACCATTTAAAACATTTACTATAAAATGTAAGCTCTTAACTGTTATTCTGTTAAAATATCCAGATAATGAACGGGAGTAAAAAAGCTTGATTATTGATATAAGAATTGTCTGCCAATTTGCCGCGTACTTTTGTTTAAAAAAAAAATGCAAGTTTTATTCCGAGCGCTTGTCCGAGAAACCCCTTGCGGTTCTCCGGCCACTCGTTCATGAGACGTCCCGCCGTCTTTTCACGTCCCGCGGCAGAAAGGAAAGATCAGAGGCCTCTCGCGCTTTATCCGTTTAACTCAATTGCGAGACGGAAGAGACGGACAAAACCTACTCCAGTTTATCCGGAAGCTGTCGGAAGCGGCCGACCTGAGTGTTTTAATGAAAAATCTCCATTGTGCCCCGCCCCGGGACGACGCCTCTTGTCCTCCCCGTTTACTCTCCTCGGGTTTTCTCTTATTTCACACCGAATAAGAATTTTCACCGCAGAGAGGGACGAACGATTATTCCGGGCGAGAAAAAAGGGAGACGACTCTGCCTTGACGAAGACAGAGGAATTCCGCAAGGATAAACGATCGCTTTTCAGTCCACGGCCCGGAAAAACCGAGAGGGGAAAAAGACCGTCGAAAATCTCGTGAAAATCTGACGATTTTCCACTGATGAGAAATAGCGACGGCAAGTGCGCTGTGATATATCGGGACGTTACGATTTTCCGCAATGAAAGACGAAAGTTTTTGACGTACAAAATGCCGAGCCGGCTAAATTGAATTGTCAAATTCAATATTTAATGTAAATATTAATTATCAAACAAATTGTTGGATCAAACATCAAGCGGGCGCCCCTGTGATTCTACGAGATTGGCAAAGCAGATGTTACGTTAAATGTCGAATAACGTACAAGTTTCAATATTAAAAGACATTCTCGCGGTGGAGCGCAATTTTAGCCGCGCGTCGGGAGATATTGCGGTTTGTCGAAGCCCACGGCGCGTTTCTGGAGTTAAGACAGAGTTGCGAGGAGATTCTTTGAACACGCAGAAATAAACGCGGTGGCCGCGGCTTTCGATTGAAATCGCCCCGAGATATCTCTCTGTCGACGGACAATCCTTCGACAGCGGAGAAGGGTAGAGGAGAATCCCGTCTCGAGTTACGAAGATTTCGCCGTCTGATTTTCAGCCCCGTCCATTTTTCCGACGGCCTGCGGAGGGATCCGGGTGAGGGGGGGGGGGGAAGAGAGGCGGGGAGGAGACGCGGAGGGGAGGGAGCGGAAATCCTTCTTTCAGCTGGCTATGGTGAAAGTGAAGAATGGCGTAGTTGGACGAAGGAAGCTTTCGGAGCTTAAAGCTACGCGCGACGGACGCGATGGATCCGCACGTACATGATCGAAGGGGTTTAGGATTACCGGAGAGAGTACGTAGGGCCAAGTACCGAAAACTCGAACCGTATAAGTAGCTGAGGCAGTATCTGGACGTCGAGGAACCCGACTTTTCCAAAAGAAAGAAGATAATTGAGGATTTTCAAAGATCTCCGAAGATGCGTCTAACTTGAAGATAGACAGATAGATAGGTAGATAAATAGATAGATAGATAGATAGATAGATAGATAGAGAGAGAGAGAGAGAGAGAGAGAGAAATTCAGACTAATTCGAGCTTCGATAGAACTCGAGGGTTAAACATTTTCTATTGTTTCAAGGATCAAGGGTCTGAAACATCTCAGACAAAGCTAATGATAAAATCGTAACCTTTTCAAGTTATAATTCTAAAGATTTAATTAAAGATCGAAGGTCCAGAAAATAAAATTGTTAAATGCATTTGATAGAAATCGTCGCAATGATACTTGCATTTCACGAGAACGGGGAAGAAATGTTGAAAATAATCTCATTTTCTTTCTCAACGTCGGATCATCGCTCAAGGAAGCTGTTTAGCGCGTTTGGTACATTTTAATGTTATAATAAACATTCAATTAATTCGGCGTCTAATTGCCATTAGATAGATTTGTAAGATGCTCGGTGTGTCACTTTCAAAACAGTTTGTAGCAAGAAATGGACACCGAGCTGATGTCTCAGCGTTATCGCTTGATTATCACTTAATTATTACTTCTTGAGTTTGGGACACCGTGGGCTTAGAATCGCTCGCACTTTAACTACTTCTCCGGCAAAAAGAAGTCAAACTTCGCCGAGAAGCACCATTAATCGGCGTCCTGCGGAAAGCCGCGGCGAGGCGGAAGCCGCCTTTTCGCGTCACGCGAACTCCGCCATCTGATTTTCCCGCGGCGTCCATTTTTCCAGCAGATGGATCGGCGGGATGGCGAGGGACAGAGAAAGGAGAGGCGGCGGAGAACGTAGCAAGGTAGAAAGGGGAGGAAGACGAGGGGGAGGGAAAACGGAAATCCTTCTTTTAGCTCGGTGTACCAGCGGTGAAGAATGACGGTGAGCTTTAGAGCTTAAAGCCGCGTTCCTCCGGACGCTCCCGCCGCCGCCGTCTGGAGGAACGGTGGGGCCGAGGACGGGGAGGTGGATGGGACGGGAGGGCACGGGCGGGACGGGACGAGGGGGTTGGAATATCCTTTTGGATCCTTTTAAGGTACTCCGACACATACGCGCTTATGAGTTCCAGGTGCACGTGAGACCGCGAGATACCGCGAGCTTCGAGGGACCGAACTTATCCGCGCGAGATATACCTTTGAAAAATTATACAGAATGTTCTTCCTGCCCCTTGCCACGTCGGCGCTCGAACGGCGGACTCCTCCGGCGCGCGCTCGATTTATCCTCGTCGAAAATGCGACGAGGCGAGAGACATTTTTTTCGAATGGTCGTCGACCGAAGGTAAATTTCTCGCCAGACGGAGCACGCCGCGGCGTGACGAGATCGCGCTCCCCCGATTAGCTCCGGGCCGCATCTCCGTTTTAACTGCGGGGATCGCGTCGCTGGAATTGACAAATTTAAGCGAGATCGCACTAACGTTCGAACGCGCTCTTGTTTCATTTCGAATGCTACACTCGCGGAGTTGAATCGCTTTCTCTCTCGCCAAATTTACTGATAGCATTTGCATATCCATTTTGAGCAGCGTATACGTCTGGCTTCGTTCGTCTCGCCGGTATTATTGTTGACCCAAGATGTTGCCGAGTATAATTCGATAACCGTAACACGATCCACTCCACGGCCTCCTCTTTCAGTCTCTTCTCGGCTGCCATTATTCTTGGGTCAAAATATCATTGGATAACATTTACATTTGTAATCCCGCGCCGGAGCTCGCCGCATATTTCAGCCGGAATACAAATTTCTGCCGTTTAGCTTTCTTATTATTAGATTTGGCTTTATGAATTTGTATTAACGCGCTTGCATTAACATTAATTTGCATTAACAGCAATTTAGAAGCTCTTTCTCGCTCGCGCTATTGCCTAGGATTACCATTGAATGTAAATGCACGTAATTTTTATATTTCTGGGACTCCGTCTGGAATTTTTGTCCACGGTCAAGAGCTCAAACAATTTAAATTCCCGCAACGTTCAAGAATACGCGAGAGCCGAAGATCCCGAAATCATAAACCTGCACGGATAGAATGTTTTTTGTTTAATGTATCCTGAAAACCATGTAATCGTGGGACAAGCGGGGTAAGTAAAACGTGTAGACCAATTGTAAGTACAATTATTATAGTGAAATGTACAGTAAAATTTCAAAAGACTGTCAATAAAATTCTTCGAAATGCCGTGTAGTCGCACGAACACATAACTTTCAGGGCAAATTTTAGAAGAAAATTCTCTCCGTGTGAGAAATCAATATGTTCCAGGATTCGAAAGTAAAGAAATTCAGAGATTTTCCTTGAATTCGAAATTCTCAGAGTCGAATGAAGCGATCGGCGGTGAAAAATCCTACATTTTTAAATGCGGATTTTTTCTCCATCAATGCCGCAGAGAGCAAAATCTCTCGGGCTGAGATTGGAAATTTCAAATCCGAATTAAAAACTGCGAGAGGGGGGGGGGGGATAAAGGAAAACACGTATCAAATTCTCCCAAGGCGTCTCCAGAAACTAAAGACCCTCGAAAGAAACCCCCCCCCCCCCTCGAGATTAAAACGCCCGGCATCCCGGAGTATTCCGAACATCCGCTATATTAGCGCCTCGAGATATCCTGCGAAACTTCACGTCTGATCTACAAAGGGATCATAGCGCCGCAGAAACTCGTTGCTAAACACAGAACAATGTTACGCGCGCGTGCGCGCGCAAGTTACCGATCGCGCGCGGACGAAACTTCGTTGTGCAGCTCTAATTCGCGAATTTAGCGTGCCCCGCCGCTAAACAAGGGCGAGGGGGATTCATAAGCCCGCATAAATGCGTTTCCCTGATTCCGCCATATTTCCCCCGCAAAGTAAGGCCGATTAAATCATCGCGGTCGTGTTGCGCAACGCATTAAACGCGCCGCGCCCGCGGGACCGGCGGAAAAGTTTTTCCCCAATTTCATTCCACACGTATGTACGCAGGGGGGGTGCAAGTGGTACGTGGGGCGCGCAGGGGTAGGATAATCCGTTTTTGCTTTTGAAAGGGACGCGCGGTGAACGTAAATGAATTACCACTTCCGCGTCGCATCGCGATAAACTCCGCCACGAAGTTCAGTCTCCCTCTCTCTCTCTCTCTTCCTTTTTTTTCCTTTCCGTTTCCGACCGAGTTATCCGACTTGATTAAACGTCGAGTGATACCGCGGAGGGTCGCGCGGTGTGTAAAAAGTTAAACGCGAAATAGAGGGAAGATAAATTCTCGAAATTAATAAATAACAAAGAAACGGAGCGGCCGGCGTTTAAAATATACGCGCGGAGGTTCTCGGCCACGTCGGCGTAGAAATACTGGAGATCCCTCGCACAGGGGATGTAAAACAGATGCGACGTCGGGGCGATTCGGCGAATCGACTGATCTTTTTCGCAAGGTCGTATCTCGATTTTTTTTTGCAATTTTCGACTTTTCTGCTAAAACATTCATTCTGAATCGGAATGAGCGTTTGTACCTCGATTTTCGTGCAATTTGCGGTTTTTCTGCTTAAACACCCCGAGCAGAAATCTTAGTAGGGTCCTGGTAGGGTAGGTAATTTCTAATAGGGGGTAGTGGAGCATCAGTAGGCTTTCTATTTAAAAAAAACTTAATTTGTTAAACTAATTTTTAAATTGTGTTAAATTATACAATCATCAAAAGTATATTCAGGAGAAAAAGCGAAAATTGCAAGAAAATCGAGATACGACTTTGCGAAGAAGATCAATCGAGATGCCGGCTCCATTGCGACGCGATACTGCCGCGACACCCTGTATAACACGCAACAATGTATCGGGACGACTTTTAACGACCACTTTTTCCGCCGTTAAGGATCGCATTCCTCGACGAATGTATATGGGAAACGGAGGGGTGCCCTAATGATCCGGGATCCATCCGGACGGATCTTTCGACGTTATCGCGCGGCGTTTGCTAATTGCGCGGCCCGGGATACAAGCGGCGGGACGTCCAAAAGGACCAACGAGGCCCCGAGGACCCGACGGTGGAAGGATAAATCGACGGTAGGGGTGTACAAATCGCGTTTGCCCGATAACAGATCCGGTTCTCCCCGAAGAAGGCCACCTGATCGTCACGGTTACGCGTTGCAAATTGTTTCTTAGGCAGGTCGCTTGTAATTCAGCCGCGCAATCTGCTCTTCGGTTTTTACAACGCGACGCGACCGCTAAATCTCGCGGCGAACGAGCGTAACGGAGGCCATTTTTACAGAGGTACGCCGCAATCTTCGGGTAATTTTCAAAGAATTAACTGTATTTCGTAGCGAACAGATACAAGAGCAAAATGTATCGATAAAAAAAAAGGCAAAAATATATATTCCATCTTCTTTAATTATTTTGCAGGACTGAATATATTCAGCAAGTAAAAATGGAACGGGTTGGCTTAATCGTGGAAAAAAAATTACGCATTTAGTTGAATTAGATTCCTGAATTTTTCGAGAGAGCACTTAAAATTGTATTAAATCTAGCTTTCCGTTTGTGCGCCGTTCCGCTCGCGTCCGGCTCGCTCTCCGTAATAATTTAAATCGAAACTGTTTCTCCAATATCTCAAATCAAGTAACGTAAAATTAAACTTCCCGGGAGGTTAAAGTCCAATTAAAATAGTTGACCAAATTAAATTAAACTTGAGATGGCTCTCCAACTTTCATTCGAGCGCGACTGGCACGTGCCATTAGTAGGCGGCTTTTCGCGCGACACACTCGTTACATGGAAACCGCCCGTCGCTAATCGGGCCATTCGTTTCTCAAGAGTAATGGCCATTCTGTTTTAATATCGCTGAAACGGGGAAACACATCATAACAATCGCGTAAATATTGAATCACGGACGCGCCATTTGTCACCAATACGCCATATTATTTTCGCGTACGCATATACGCGCGTCGCTCACGTCATAAATCACGAGAGCAATGTTGCTAAATGATATTCGCCCGCCATTGTTTACCCGCGCGAGCGACGGACCCGTCGAAATGTAACATTGGCTCGCATAAATATGGAAATACTATAATATCGGGCCGCCCTCATACGTCGTTCTTTATAATGTATTCCGTATCGTGTTATGCTCGACGATCCGCCACGTTTACATTACTGCATCAATAATTTATCAGTAATTTGTTATCAGCGAGGTAATAGATTCCGGATATTACTCTAGCATATTTTTCGACTTTTTCCCCCCGACGCCGCGGTAATCTGCTCCCCGGGATAACGCAATTTCGTGGACGTGTTTACGGCCGAAAGTCGTCGGCGTGTCGCCGTATTTGCAATTTCAGAGCCTCGAAACGTTTGTCCCCGGCAGCGTAAAAACTTGGAAATGGGAAATGGTAGTCTCGAAACTTTCGTAGAACTTTGAAACTCCGAACCCGTTGAACCCTCGAATTTGAGATCTCGAACTGGGGAACTTGAAAATTTCGAACTCTTCCGGGACTTTGAGACTCGACGGTCAAAACATTCGTAACTTTAGAACCTTAAAACTTGGGCCTTTGAGATATCTCGAGTCACTTCGAAACTCTGAACCTTAGGCATCCCGAAACTTTGGGGACCCTGAGAACGTTTTGAGCGTTTGAGGACTTAAGGACCTCGAGATTTCTTGGACGGTCCAATAATAACGATAACAATTGTCATAATAATAGCCGGTGTTAATCGACGTGAATAATAATAAGAGCTGCACAAAGAGGCGATGTAATTAAATTAATATCCCCGCGTCATATTTATTCATGTTTCCATTGTTAAGCGGCATAAAGGAGCGAAAAGGGGAGACGTAAAACGAGAGGGAAGATTGATCATCGTGTATCAAGGTACTCCTCTCCAAAAGGAAAGCTTCCGAAGCACAAAATCCCTTCCTCGCTAAGTCCAACGAGTTCGTTTCGTCTTTTTGCCCTTCCGTCGTGTCGTCCTTGTCGTCCTTTTGCCTCTGTTCTGATCCCGTCGGGTTGGGAGGATATTAAAAGGAAGGAGAAAGGATAACGCGCGCATCTTCCTACACCGCTCTTTCCCTCTGCAATACCTTTCGAAGGAGCGATCGAAACTTGCGCGCGGCAGAGCTTATTTCGATGTTTCAGGTAGACCAAGCTTCTCGATCTTTGTAATAAGTCGGTGCCCGAGACAGGGTGCTTTCGCGTCAATAGACTTCATTTTTAAAGAGCATTTAATATCGACGTTCTTGATTAATGGAAATACAGTTGCTCACACGTGCGAGTACAATTTCAATTCGCGTCCCTCTCGTTTTTTCCCCCTCTTTTCGTTCCCTCGACGGAAAATAGACCGACTCGAAATTTTGGTACTATTTCGACACTTTTAAGGATAATTTACACCTACGTAGCTGATCTATACGCCTACGTGGACCAGCGATAACCTACTTTCATGACATTATATTTTTTTACTCCTCCCTTGAATCTTTAATTCTAAAAATTTACTTTAGCTCCTACTTAAAAGGATCTATACTTTAATGCTAAACTGGCAAAAGTAGAAATTTCCATCAGTTTTAAAGTAGGAGTAAATTTTGTACTTGCAGTTCGACCTCTTTTACTGGCCTACTATATAATAGAGTTAAAGATTCAACACAGGGCCAAAATGTCGGGAATTTTAACTCTTTGAAGCATGGTACAATAGTAACCCACGTTACCACCTCAACTTCTTTACTTTTTGGCCATTTAATTTCTAGTTAACG